TTTCTCGCCTTCGTCTTCGTCTTTGTTTTCTCTTTCTTCCTTTCCTTCTTTCTCTCGTTGATATCTTAGATAATTATGTAATGGAAATCAAGGCAGGGATGAGAATTTAAAGTTACACGAAATGTATTAACCTCTGTTTCCCCTTCACTGTTTTTAAGATTTCAAAACCGACTTTGTTGATTTTGGTGGCTCTTGTATTATTAAACTAATGTAGACACGAAAAATGTTCAAATGTAAAGAAGAATAGTCGAACCTCGAACGCGCGGCAGACGGCGAGAGAGCAAGGCCGAAGGTAACACAGCGGCCGGGAGGCGGTTCGGAACAGTTATATTTGTGTTTTTTCTTACTGTCAAGGATTACCAAAGGTCAGCTCATAGATAAGGATAGGCAAGGAACACGATCATTTGCCTCAGCATGAACAAACACCTCGAGAAAGAGAGAAATACGGCACTGTAATTGCGTGATCCCGTAGATTTTTTATCGTTAATTTAGAAACCAATTTATCTTAAGATATTAGAGATGATTTCGTTAATAGTAGCGGACGTGGTGTACCTCTTGTGATTTCACCACATTTCTGATCTGTTCTCTGTCGCCTTTTCCTTCTCTTGCTTCTATTTCTCTTCTGCTCTCCATTTCTCTTATTTTGTTATCATTTTTTTCTGAATCTCAGCTGTTGTCTCTTCAGTGTCATTTCCCGGCGCTTTTCTCAGCTTTTCTCAGCTTTTCTCAGCCTTTCACCTCCTCGGCTTATTTAACCGCCCAGGTAATCTTGATTTCTTTCTCCATTTTATTACTTTGTTACTAATTTCATAGCTTGGTGAATTATGAAACTAGCACAGCACCAAGACATAACAGATTTTTTGGTATATATGAAGTATAAGGTAGCAGCAGAGTTGGGTAGTAACACCTACATGAAATGATAGAGCAATGCAAACCAAGACAAAGTTCTTCTATGGCAATATGTCTGCAAATGCTTCCCAAGGGTGCTATACGTAAAAAAGATGAGAAGAAGATGGGTTACTTTCGAAACAATTTTGATTTTTTTCTGCATGAAATCCACTGCTCTCAACGATTCTAGGCATTGTTCCTTGTGCAAATGGGCGACCTAACCCAACATCCAACCTACCCTAACACCGTGGTATATATTCTGGACCCCCGGGGTAATATATATATACCTAGCACCCTTGGGAAGCATTTACACACATATTACTATAGAAGAACTTTGTCTTGGTTTGTATTGTTCCATCATTTCATGTAGGTTTTATTACCCAACTCTGCCACTACCTTATACTTCATATTGTCCATTTTTTTTTAGGCAACCACTCAACTTGGCAGTTATTATATCAGTTGTTCCCAGTATATTGTGCACAAGCTGTTAGTGAAGTGAAATTATTGGTAATTAATGAATTGACAGCACCCCTGTGAGACACAAGTCCCCATTACTCCAGCCACTACTAGGAATCCACAAACATTGCTATTTAAGCCAAAAATCTTACAAACCCAGGGCTTGACCCCAAGGCCCCCACCCAGTTGCTATATTTTCCTCCTGGGGTCTCTGCCCCTGGACCTCACTCAGTATGTAGGGCATTCGTGGTGGAGCCCCCAGCCCCCCACATTCCTTGGCCCAGTAGCAGGGGAGGGCATGAAGGGTACCAGGGAAATTATTAAAATATGAATATGTGAAATATGAATAATATACACAGAATCAGTCAGTATATTGATAATATAGATAAAATAAGTTACTTTATTGTTAAATGAAGGGGATGTGCCCCTTGCAACCTCCCCAACCACCCTGAAAGACATTTAGGTATGGCAGAATAGATTGTCCAACTGATGTGTAAGAGCACACTGTGCTGAGTCTGTCCTATGCTCTATCCTGCCGCACACATGTTGGAATCTTTGTTGTCCAGGATGGGACAATCTCCCCCCATGGGGAGATTGAGGGGGTTAGTCCCAAGTATTTGAATATATATTCAGAAATTTTCTCTATATTCATATTTTACCCAACATATTCCCTAGTACCATTCATGCCCTCCCCTGCTATTGGGGCCAAGATTGTGGGTAGTGGGGGGCATTTTGTCGCACAATTTCTACATGTATCGGTAGTAGAGAATGAGAGGAATCCATCAGTACCACTATCATGATCAGTTCATGTGAAGGTATTCTGAATATTTATTATAATTAGATTTTCCCTGTTGTAATGTCGCCATTACGTAAATGCATGTCAAAGTATTATATGTTGCTTTACTTTCTCATTATCAACAAGTTCATCATCAGTCATCAATCAAAGATGCACCTGCTGTGGCTTTGAGCACTTGTTTTGGCATCTGTTCCTTTGTCAGTTTGATGAAAGGACAACACCTCCAATGCATATACTCTGGCAGGAAAGGCTACTTACTTTTGGTTTGATGTGACCAAAGATTCAAGAATTACCTACAGCTTTGTAGTATAATCCTCAACAGGTTTTTAATCTTGAATTATTATGCTAATATTCACACAC